CGCCTTCCCCCGGCGGCCGCCGCCGGGGACCGCGCCTCTCGCCTCTCCGTGGGAAGCGGCTTTACCGTTTTATCATTTATCAAGCTGTCATTCGGGGCTGGAGGTAAGAAACAGGAAGGGGAGAAGCCGGAGTGAGGCAAGGCTCGACGCTCCCTGCATCCCTAGGGGGAAGGATGCACCGCAGGAGATGCGTGGGCATAGCAAGGAGCTGCTAAGAGCTCCCTAATCATCCGGTGCATTAAGAAAAGCTTGCGAAGTAGCGTGTGTCAAGGTGTGCCTTCCTCAGGAGGCTACCGGCAGAATCAGCAGGTTTGCTTCTCTTCCAGCAGTGGCTGCCCTGAAGAAGGGGCTGCTGGAGCCATGCTGGTGGCTGGAAGGAGCCCAGAGGGACGTGGGTGTGCTGGGTACCGCAATTCCTTGCTGCCCCACTTGTCGCCGAGGCTGGCTTTTCGTCTGCCAGGGACCAGGTGCTTGCCTAATGACAAACCCAGCAGCAGTCTGGGGACTGTAGCCCAGCACTGCATCACAGATCTAAGCTCTTCCTTGTGCATCTTCCATTATTTTCTGCAGCGTGAGCTGTCTTCAGTAGGCTGTCTTCCTCCTTTGTCCTCTTTTTTCCACCTGCTCAAAATTTCTGAAGCTTTGTAATTAAAATATTCTTTTCTGGAGCTGGGAAATAGGGTTACAGTGCTCCCTGACTGGGAGCCAGAATCCTGCTTCTTGACACTGGCCGGCCAAACATTAAGTGAAGCAAATTCAAGTAATAGGGCAGATACAGGAAAAATGCTTTGGGAGTACTCTCAGAACTCCCAGTAACACTGTTCTAAGGCAGTAAATGTAGCGTGCTGCTTGCTTTAATTTTCAGGAATGTGTTAAGTAGTAATGGCTGGTGCTCCTAGAAGTATTACAATCAGTAGTTCTTCAGAAATAGGGTTGTTCGGTTTGTTTTTTAATGGGAGCATAATCTTTGGAGCAGGGATTGCATTGGATGCCCTTTGTAGGGCACTTTGTAGGGTTCTAGTTGCAAATAAAAATAATGCTTTCAGGTGGGAATATAAATTTTAAATTTTGTCTTGTTTCTAAATCTTTATTTGCATTAGACTGACCTTTGAACAGTCTGTAAACTAGGTAGCAGCATTTTTTTTGATGAATCCGAAGGACAGGGAAGTTTTAGCAGAGAGCTGGAGGGACCTTCCCCAGTCACACATGAAGGGCACCAGAGGAACAGTCCTACTTCTGTTCTCAGCGTCCTTTACAAGTTTCTAGTTTTTGTCCACTTTGGACAGAGTCACTCTGCTGTTTGCCAGGAACTCCTTCCCTTGATGATATGACAGCTTCAATTTTTATTTTTCCTACCTAGACGATCTTCCTTGATCCAATTATGAAAAAATGTTTAGAAAAGGAAAAAAACGACATAGCAGCAGCAGCTCACAAAGCAGTGAAATCAGTACTAAAAGCAAGGTAAGCCCAATTTGGTATGCACTCTGTTTATGGAAACGCTTCTGGTTGTTACAGGTTGACAGTTCAGTGGCTCGCTTGCACTGATGGTAGGGTGCATTTTCCATAAAATGCCATGTTCCACAGGGAGAGCTTTCTACTTCTGTTCCTCAGATTGTGCTATGAGAGTTAAAAAACCCCATCCATTATAAAGCCCTTGTGTTCTGAGATAAACGCTCAATTGCTTCCATAGTTTCTGGCAGCACATAGTAGGGTTTAGAGGAAAAAAAGCAGTACCAGAAAAGTCTGGACATAACCTTAAGGTTCATTTTCTCTTTTTCTTTTATTTCCTCCTCCTTTCAAAATATTTGTGGACTTCTCAAGGGTTTCTGCTCAATTTATAGCAGTCTAATCTACATTGAAGCAGAAAGGTAACTTCAGGAAAGAAATAGGTAGTGGTGGTTTTTTTCTCCCCATTTTGCAGTGCTGCTTAAGTAATTAGAATATAAAACTAGTTTAAAAAAAGAGTTGAGGCAGGGCATCTAAAAGTGAATTGTCAGTATGTTCTCGCTAAGTTTCTGATGATACTAATTTTTTTCTTAGTCTGTAGATTCCAGTCTTGGGGGACTTTCCAGGTCTAGTACTGTGGCTAGTCTAGATACAGACTCCACGAAAAGTTCAGGTATGTAATCAGTCTGAGCAGATATGTATGGAGCAGGATTAAATTTATGTGTGTTTGTATAAAAGAGCAGAAAATGGAACAGGTTAAAATACATATTTTTGATAATTGTGAGTGAATCTGTTAGCCTGTTGACTAATGCGTGCTGAGCTCTGGGCATCTAAAGTATTATTAATGATTCATCTAGGATTAAATCACTGGGTTTGAAGTAAAGTTTCTGAGTAGGAAAAACTTCGTTTTGTTACCAGTCTGCTACATAGCGTAAATCTGGCATAACTTCTCGGAAGCTCTGTTTCCTGCTTTTATAAGTTTACATTTGCACTGAAATAATGGAAATAAGATTTGATTTTACTTGTTCTTGCTCACCAGATCACAGCACATCACTGTTAGACAAAACAGTTCATTTTATATATATATATGTATATATATATATGTGTATATATATGTATATATATATGTATATTTATAAAAATAAAAGTAGAACCAGCTTTTCTATGTTTTCTGATTTAACTCCAAATGTCAATTAGTATAAACTGTGCTGCATCATGGATTCGCATGAAACTGTTGCCTTTACCATGGGCTGTTCTGAATCAGCGCAGGACATTTAAGTTTGTTAAAGAGAGGAGTTAATATGTTGTGGTAAGGTTAAGGGTTTGATGGAAGTCTGCAAAACTGACAGAATTTAATAAGTTAGCCCCGTTAGCACCAATTAGAATAGCATTACTGTTCTGGAATTCTTCAGAATTGCTTTGTTTTATTCTGTTGCAGGACAAAGCAATAGTAATTCTGATACGTGTGCAGAATTCAGAGTTAAATATGTTGGTGCCATTGAAAAATTGAAGTATAATGAGAGCAAAAATCTCGAAGGGCCATTGGACTTGATAAATTACATAGATGTGGCACAGGTAAGTGGGTTACAAAAGACAATACCAACCGCGTCAGAACATCTTAAGCTTAGGTGTATTTCTGTCACATTATCATGTGATCTGGCATCTTTCTTTGTAAATTTGAGACTTACTAGAATGAAGTAGCTTACTTTAAAAAAACATTAAGCTACGAATCTCAAAAGCTGTCACACTCAATTCCATCCTATTGAGTAACTGGAGGAGAGAGATGCACCCATAAAGCTGTTCTGAAGAAGCAGACGGAGCGAAGGCCCTTTTCTGAGTCCTTACTGAACAAGTGTCCCAACTGAAAGTTGTTTTATTATTTTCAGCACTGTTAGGATTAGCGTCCGGGAAAGAATACCTCCTCTAGATTTCCTCAGCGGCGTAGAAGTTTTCCCGTAGAGGAAAATGTGAATTTCTGCTTGCAATTGCTTACGAACCTGTGAACCAAAGAACCTGAATAATATTTGGGTCATGCTTGCCAAACTGTGGTTGCTTGTACTTATTTTTGTACTAAAAGCCGTGACTGGTTGTTCTCATGAGGTAGCTGATCATTTGTGTCTTTAAAAGCACAGAATGTCTATTTATCTTACAGCAATGTGACATCTCAAGTATCTGAATAGATGCTAAAACCATTTTTACAGCCAAATAACAAAATTGCTGCGAGTGTGAAAGATAGATCACCCTGTCTCAGCGCAACACGACAGGGCACACATTGTTTTTCAGCCTGTTGGATCTGACCACAGGGCCAAACTCACCCCTGAGATGATAAATTCCTTTCTGGAATTATGTAATATTTAGAATAGAATATAATAATTTCAGTTGGAAGGGACCTACAATGATCATCTAGTCCGACTGTTTGAGCAGTTCAGGGCTGACCAAAGATTAAATCCTGTTGTGAAGGGCCTTATCCAAATACCTCTTAAACACTGACAGGCTTGGGGCATTGACTGCCTCTCTAGGAAGCCTGTTCAGTGTTTGACCACCCTCTCAGCAAAGAAATGCTGTCTAATGCCCGGTCTAAACCTCCCTGAGTATATTTCACGTACAGCTGTGGGATTGGATGAGTGCAAGAGTGGCCGGCAAACTCCACACAGCAAGATATGAGCAGGGTTAGCGATGTTGCTGATCCAGTGGACTGAAATACACATAACCACATTTTCGATTATGTATCTTTGTTGTTCATGTTCTTCTGTCTGCACTAAAGGCTTTTGTTTGTTTCCCTCCAAAGCAAGATGGAAAGTTACCTTTTGTTCCAGGTGAAGAGGAGTTTATTATGGGAGTTTCCAAATACGGCATTAAAGTGTCAACATCTGATCAGTATGTAAGTGATCCACAACAAACTGTCTTTTTGGTGAGAGTTGAAAAGTGCTTTCATTTATTTCTCTGATAGATGATCTGTGTGACCAAAATGTCACTTCTGGCTTTAAGCAAAAGTAAAGCAAACAAACAAAAAAGCTCTCACAGCAGCACTGCTTCATGCCGTTACCTCCTCAGGGCTCTCTCTGTTTTCCGGGTTGGATTGGTTGGATTTATGGCAAGAATCCATTCCTTTTGAGATAGAGCACCAGACAAAAGGCAAGCAAGCCTTTACGCACTTTGGGCGCATCGTCCTTTCTCTGTGGCTGTCCTGCCATCCTCTCACGTGGCAGAGTAGCATGACTGTGGTGGCCAAGACCATAGGTTCCTCAGCCAGAGTTAGTAATGCAATTCCTGTTGATGTTATTCTGGAGAGGAAAAAACAAAGGATGTTTTTTTCAAGAATACCTGAGTTGTCTTCCTCTTTAAAGTTCCAGCCTTGCACTCCTTATCCAAGAGTGGGAGTTCACTCCAGCATTAAAACCTCATAATTCCCCTTTATTGATCAAGCCTATTTTTTGTTTGCATCATTTCCTACATGTAGTTTATTTTCCTTTAGCGCACTTCAAATAGCTTTTTTGCTAAAAATAAAAATCCGGTCTCTTCCCCAGGGCCCTCCACTTGCCTTTGTGTAGCTTTGTGTTGCAGCCATGTGGTTTCCTTCTGGTTGCCCTCAGAGCCCCAGATACCATAAATACTTGGCCTTACGAAGTCATGACCCATCAACAACCCAGCAGTGCCTGTTCATGAAAGCCTCAAGTATGAGGACGGTGAATAGCATTGCTCAATAGCTGAATACTCTGAACAGAGCCAAAAAGTTTCCTTTGGTCCCTTCAGAAAATAAGACACAAAAAAAAATGCCCGGGAAGAAGTGTAGTTGTCACTCAAGCTTTGAATGCTTTTGGGTTCTGTTTTTGCTGTCCTCCTAAATTCTTAATTCTCATTAAGAACATAGGTTACACTGTTATTTAAATTCCTTTGTACTTTGATAAAGATCAAATAGGTAATTTTAAGGCTTTTATCCATCATTCTTCTGGCTTCAAGCTGAAAGCATGCACAAGCTGATAAAGCCTCTGTGATTAAGCTAGCTTGCACCGGCATTTTATTGCATTGCATTCTGTTTCCCAAATTCTGGCTTTTTGCATCTGTGTCACTGTTGACATTTAATTTGTCCTTCAGTGTGTTAGCCCACCTAACTCTTCCAGAGAGTTCCAAGACAGAAAGGTTTCTCTGCATTCATACAAAGAAAGGGGGAAAGGTGAGAGTTCTGCGATTTGTAGGTACCTTTGCAGGTGAATAGGCAGATACTAATTTCAGATGCCAGAAAGAGAATTGACTGAAGGATATAAAATTTTTCTTCAGGGATTTCAGCCAGTGTTTGAGAAATTATTTCATTAGTGACTCAAATATGTACAGATGTGTAATTCACTGATACAGTTCCATTGTTTGTGGATGCAACCACGAGAAACCGAAGGTGAATTATTCATAGGAGTCACACTGAGGCTTTGGCCTTCTTCACGTTCCGTTTGTGTGTATTTCTACATTATATATGATGTAATTTGTACATACATGTATGGCACAGTTTGTCCATCCACCATCTCATTTCTCTTTCAACTGCAGAATCCCCTCATAGCCAAATACTGGAAGGAGGGGAGGAAATGTATTTACAGGGGGAATTCTGTCCTCCCTCTTTTAGTGATGACCCACGTGCACGTTAGCACTGTAGCAAGTTCCAAGCAAGTACCTCTTAATAAGTTACAAGTCATTTGGAGGCAAACCTTGGCATCTTTCATACAGACTGGAGGGTCAATCCAGTAAGTTCTGTGTCAGCTCCTGCTGCTTCCAGCGTAGTATGATGGTTGGTGATCGCATGAATATTGGTGAGCAACTGCTGAGCGAGCGTCGGGGATGGAGATGTTTTTCAGCAAGGGGATCTTAGGAGCTCTGGTAGAGGGCTGTCCCTCAAGGGCTTTGTAGCAGGTATCGAGCTCACTGTCCATTTTTACAGCTTCTGTATCAAAGTGGATGCTTCTTCAGACCCTTCAGCTACTGACAGGGACAAGGTGTTCCATGCCATGAACACAGAAAAAGCTGTCTTGAAGTCGTAAGACCCTAGAGGTGGTAGGACTGGAATAAAGCAGAGGAGTATTACTGTTTGGGCAGGATGGCTTCAGAAGAAAGGCTTTGCTTAGGGGAGGTCTGCCGAGACCTTGCACTGCATGACATTAACCAGTCCCTTTTTGGAATGGCCAAGATCAGAACTGTTGGGACTACAGTGAAACCCCGCAACTGCGGTGGGTAGTTGAAGTCTCCCAGACTCGATCTCGGCAAGACCCAAGAGCCACTCTGTGGCTCAGGCCACAAGTGGCCTGGCTGTATCCACACGGCTACCCCAAAGCAACTTGCCTTGTCCATACCCTCTTGTGGGAACAGTTTCTCGTGCATACCCTTCCCGGAACTGAGACAGGGGATTGTCTGGAAAAATAACTGGAAAAGTAAAAACTTGTTTTAAGTTCCCTCTGTGCCAGAGGTAGGTACAGAGCGAACCACCTATCCTACTCACAGCGGGTGAGTGAGGGTAGGTGGGAAACAAACGTGTGCTTTCGTAGGAAGCACATACGTTCCTGTGCCAGGAATATAGTCCATGTATGATTCTAAAATTCTAAATAATTTAAACTCTAAAATAGAAGCAAAAATTAAAGCTAAAATTGTGTTAAACCATGACTTATTTTTTTTTAAATCTTGACTAAACTCTCAATTAAAAACCTGTAATTTTACCAAGGAATACTTTTCTCCTGTAAATAAATCTGAAGTATTCTTTTGTAAGAGAGCAAATCAAAAGAGGTGGAAAACTGAAATAGCTGTTGCACTGTTTCAGAGTAACTTTTATTTGCCGCATGGTTTCAGGATGTGTTACATAGGCATGCTCTCTATTTAATTGTACGGATGGTCTGCTATGATGATGGTCTGGGAGCAGGAAAAAGTTTACTGGCTTTGAAGACAACAGATGCAGCCTCTGAAGAATGCAGCCTCTGGGTATATCAGTGCAATAGTTTGGTAAGAGTTTATGTTTACAGTATTTAATTTAGGTACCAGTGTTCTGATTGTAAAGGGAGATTCTAAAACCCCAGGGCCCTTGTGAAGGCTTTTTGGCAGAAGGGGGATCGCTCAATTAAAAAGAGGATAAATGTACCCTAGCTGAGGAGGGGAGAAAAGCCCTGCTGACTGCATTTGATTGGCTTTGAGGAAAAATACCTACATTCCCTAGAATAGCCAGTGAAAATTGGCCTGAGAAAGCTCTTGGCAAGCTGAAGGGTGCTATCGTAGCTGCTAAGGACAATCCTCTGCCTGTATTTTCAAAGACCAAAACAAACCCCTTGAGAGCAGACAGAGCAGGGAGGGATTGAGTAGCAGTTCTGGTAATAGAGCACGCATTCATATCTGTAAGCAAGGGCAGCAATCTCCTCTTAAGAGTAGGAGACTTCATTGTCAGGATACCATGATTATGACACACACCCTTAGCAGCACCTGGGGGAACACGCAAACCGACTTTCTGAATGCTAGTGTCATGCTATGATGAAAGCTAACAACTCTGACTTGTTTCAAAAGAGCTCATTTAAAACAGCTTCCCACATGTCATTGCAGACCATGGGAATCAAATTAAATCTCACTCGTGCTACTCCATTTTGCATGTCTCTGCCAAAAGAATGATAAAGGTCACATTCTGCTTTAAATGAGTTTTGGGACACTTAGAAGTTCTTTGGGAAGCGTTAATGTGTGTGTGTGGATTTTTTTTTTTTAGGAACAAGCACAAGCCATTTGCAAAGTGTTATCTACAGCCTTTGATTCAGTTTTAATGTCGGAGAAGTCCTGATTCTCTTCAGCAGCACATGACTGCAGTACAAGAGGCCTTTGTGTGAGGAGGAAACGGGGCTCCTCTGCGATACCACAGACTGGCTGTAGCTACACACAACCTCAGAAAAGATTCGCTGTGCAGAGAAGAGCCACGCAACCTTGCACATGGTACTTTGTCATTCCCCAAACATGACTTGAAGAAACTATTCCATCTTCAGTTTGCAGGACAATGCAGAATTTTATATTTAACATCTTTTTTTTCCTAAATCATGTTTTGTATATTAATGTCAATATTGTAGAAATGTAAAATAAAACTGACACTTGCTTCTAGCTCTCCGTCTGAAAAACAATTTGTCAATACAGACTTCAGTTCTGCTTAACAGATATTAGAATAAAACAGCAAGAGCAAAGTGACAGTAGGCAGTCATTTGGTGCTTTACACCTCTCAGTGAATCTTACGTGTGCCATCTACACCATTTCTACATTCAACTAAAAAGCCACAAGATGTACTTTTTTTTTTTTTTTGCTCAAGTGCTACTTGTTTGTATTTCTTGTTTTACAGACTGAAAAAAAGAATATTGCCTAAGCAATGCAGGGTAACAGAGGAGAAGCAGCCAAAGTGATTTTAAAAGTAGTTTTATTTTTCCAGACATTTGACTGGTTAACAAGAGTAAAATTTATTAATCATGCTCTAATTATAAATCACTGCATCCAGGACATTGAAAATAAGAGTTGATTTTAGGTTATACAATATATACAGTTGCTCTGCAACTAAACAAAATAAAAACAACTGAATTGAATATTATACATCTCATAGCATTCTAAGCTGCATTTTAAGTGTCACTTGCTCCTTCTTAAACAGTTAACACAGCAACCTAATAGTCTGTCTATTAACAGGCTTTTTGAATCATTACTTTAATCAGATTTGAAAAGTTGTACGAAATATGCCAAAATTTTGGACTTAAAATTCTTAATTTTATATTATAAATAGATATCTACAGGCTCTAGAATTTCTTTTTCCTCTGCCAGAGGAGCAAACTTTGAGAAACATTGAAAATCTAGGGATAAATTTTGCGTAGCTGCTCTTTAATTGGTCCTCAACATTTGATCTGTCTGCACCGTTAGTGCTATTACGTTGTAGTCTGCAAGTTTGCTAGTTCCTAAGTGACCAGCAAACAAGGTTGTGGCATTTTAAAGTGTATTCCTCTTCTAGCAGAACTCAAGGAAAATTTGCATCATTGTTTAACTTTACGAGTTGTTACATACACTATAAGATTCTGTGTTAAAAATACTGTACATTAGGAGATCTGTGCAAAATAATATGCCCGTTTACTCTCTAGACTCTATCAGGGATAGAAACATACAAAATAGTGTTGCAAACTGAACAGTGAGTGAGTAAAACCCTAGTGGCTGAACTATTACTCTGTCGTTTTACTGGGAACTTTGAAAATACGGACTAATTTGCTTCAACTTGCAACAAAAATACCTCGAAACGTTCCAGTTTGTTCCCCGTTTATACTGCAGCAACAGCATCTTAGCAGATGAAAGTTAGGCGTGTGCTCGGCTGTACCCACGCGTTTGAGAGGCTATCAGCCAACTGTACCATTTAGGAAAGGCGAGACAAGGTAAGATCAGTGTTGCTCGTCCAGCGCTGACGCAATGTGACTCTTCTCCAAATAAGCATATATGGTGGTGGGCCCATTTTCCATTCCGTTCAATATGAAATGGCCAATTTTAAACACCTTCTGTCAGGTATTCAAAGTTCTCTCGATAAATCTAGAGATATGACATTCACGAAACGTGATCAAAGCCAATATGACCTAGACATTGATTTTTCTCATCCTGTGCCATCGGTCGTTCCCTGTAGCATAAGCAAAAACTGGTACCATTTCACAATATACAAACATCAAACTGACGCCAGATTTGTGTTGGTGTTTTGTATTCCATCAACCAACTGGGAACCATCCATGGCCTAGCCTTTGTTCACAAATCAGTAAAACAAATTTAACAACAGTGTAGCTACCATATATGTGGGTATATTATATAAATACAGAGTGAGTTAGCAAACTATCATTGTTTGCAAGGTAGTGGCACACAAATCTTATAAAACAGAACATAACGTAGTGTACGTGTGAGGTGATACCTTATTGACCAAGGCTAATTACCTAAATGTTCCACCAAGCATGTTCTCCATGTGAACACATTGCTGGATGATTGAAGAAAACTGAATTTAAAAACAAAGTCTAAACGTTCTAATGAGACAAGTGTAAGAAATGCTCTGCAATCCATCATCATAGTTAGGTACATTTCAGGAAGTGCAGTTTTCATATCCTTGAGTTAATGTAGTAACTCGTTAATATTGCCATAGTTTAGTTAACCAGCAGTAGTCACGTGAAACGACCAAAATGGATGTAACATACATAAAGAACATTCAAAAAACAGGTTCTACACACGTGCAGCATAGGAAAATGAAACAGTCTTGAGCTCACAAAATTAGAACTAGAAAGTTCAACGACTAACACAGATTTCAGATAACTTTAAGCAAATATCTACATCCATTCTGAAAGAAAGAAGTTTCTCCTGTGGTAAACTGAAATACTTTTTCACTTTTACCTGGCCAAAGACACCTGATTGAAATTGTTTCTTCCGTAATAGGTGGTGTTCTGGATGACAGCCAGTATGGCAAGATGCTGAATGAGTCCAGTTTAGAACCACGCAGCAGCTCACATGTTTTGGTTCCAACGCTTCAAATGGTATCGAGAATTGGATAAATTCACTGCCCTGTTAGATCCACACAATTTCTTTGACTGGGGAAGCAACACTGAACTGTGGTATTGTCATGTTACAAAAGGGAGAATAGAATTACAGTGAACTGATTGAGAAGAACATAATGTTGTGATGTTCACATGCTTACAAGGATTTTGATTGTTAAAGCTTTTCAGTTCACCTTGAAAAATACAGGAAGAGTTGGTTTTTTTAAAGTGTAAACTGCTCATGAGAAGTTTTCACATAGAAAAAAGTTTTAAAAGTCCCAAAATCAGAACGATGGCAATAAAAAAGTAAGCTACAGTACCTACAACTTGGGCAGTGCTCTGGCAGGTGTCTCTGCAGATAGGTAGATGAAATGAAATAGAGCAAAACTTATTTCTGTGACTGCTGGAAATGAGAAATGTCTCCGCTTATCAGTAGCATTTAGTCAACAATAAAGTGCACAAATGATACAGGGAAAGCTCCTTTCCGACTAGGATCTCCATCAATATGACCAATCTGAAAGAGTGCAGATATTTTTCAAGTTAATCTCAAAAAGGCATTTCAGTACCCCCAACATGAATACCTTCCTGCCCGTAGTATGACAAACCCCTCCCCTACATCTTTTCTGCAGTGGTGGTCTTTTTCTTTAGCAAAAGGGAAACATTATTAAAAAATTCAGTCTGACAAGGTGCATTTGTTACTCAGCTATAGACATTTTTTTTTTTCTGATTCTGTTTTATCTGATTCTTTGAAAGTAACACCTCTTAATGCAGTACCACTGCTACATCATTTCAGTGCATTCTGCAATGCCTGGCCACCCATATTCTGCCTCTGTCAAATTGCTGCTGCTTCCCCCTCTTACCAATCACTGAAAGGGAAGAGGATAGATCGAGCTTCATCAGTTTGGGGTTTTACATGTGTCTATTTGTGTTTATACAGCATTATTGTCAATTTAGATGCAATGTGAAGTTCTATTCTTCGCTAGCTAACGATCAGAGTAAGGCAAGTGTTTTCATGCGTAACAAAGACTTTGCTTTAGCTGGAATGTAAAATAGTTGAGATGGGTTCCCAGCTCAAACAGATGATTTCTCAGTCTCAGTCAGCTGACGAATTAGGACAATACAAAGCTGTCTTCTGAGGCCCACCACATAGCATCTTCATGGAAGATGAAATAAGATCAGATTCTTAAACTGCTGACGCCCCCCAAGAATTTCCTGACTCAAACAGACCATGTCGTCTGTATATTGTGAACCCTACTATCAGATTTTTTTTTTTTTTTTTTTCGGAATGAGAAAAGCCAAAAACTTATCTGAAGTTTGATTTTTGAACAAAAGACCTTTCTGGAATCAGGTTTCCATGAGAGAAACTTTTCTTGTTATTTGGAAACCCAGCAGAGGATCTTCTGAAGTCAGTGTTAGCCTTTAAATTTCATTTATTTCTTTCAAAGTATGTTGATGGAAAATGAAAAATACTCACCCACCACTCCTGATCTTCTTCACCATCAACTACAATAATATCTCCCTCTGAAAAAGTTAGCTCATCTGGGTTATCTGCTACACAGTTGTAAATTGCTTTTACTCTCTTGGGTTTAGTTTTTGACTGAAATATAAAAATAAGTAAATGTTAACAATACAGCATGGAAGAGACAGAATAGACTTGGAGTTGATCTAAAGAAAGCTTCAGAACTGCTTCCAACCATTATTTTTCATAGGTTAAGAGTTCAGCTACATCTTTTATGCTGGGTGCTCATGCTTCAGGATGATTTTGGCAACATCCAGAGCCTTTCAGAACCACTGTGCCACCAACGTGGGCCAAGTTTTCCTTAGCAATCTTCTATTTGGCTCATCCAAACCTGTCTTCAGAGCTCTACATCATTGCAGCAAGTATAATTTTATTCAGAAGATGGGGTGATCAAGACCAAGTGCTACGCAGCAAGTGTAACAGCAAGAAGCATTATCAGGCCTGAGCCACCTGCCAATATGCCCCTTCTTAATTTGCTAAACCTATTTCAGCAGTGTACAAACCATCCGAAACGTCCTCTGCCTCCCTCTAGTGCTTTGAGGACTAGAAGCCATAGAAGTGGTTTGTCAGCTCTTCCAATAAGAAAGTTTAGTAAGGAGCTGCAATGTTCCAGTATCGCAGTGGGACTCCTATCACAGAACCAATCATAGATAGAACCATAGTAGTGTTCTGTTTGTCTGTTCAGTGATGCTGAAATTGTTTTGCTCTGGTATCACAGTATCCACCATCCTAACCTCACGCATCTCCCAATGCAACCCAGCCTGCTGCTGCATTTGTTTTCTGCCACCTCATTCTCTGTTGCAGACCAACAACAATGCTACCTACATAGTGTTTCCATGCAAGGAGTGGAGAGGCACAGGACCTGGAGGCAGAGCATAAGCTGTATACCATGAGTCCACCCTTTTCCCCCAGTTTGCCCAGCCATAGCCAGCAAAAATCTCTCCTTTGTACCCTAAAACGCCAGAGCAGAGCTGTAAGTGCCATTTAGGTCAAGAGAACATTTAGGTCAAGAACTTTGCCACTAAGGATGAGGAAAAGGCT